CGGCGGGGGGGGGGGGGGGAGTCTCAGCCCAGGAGGAGCAGGGCATATGCTTATTCCCCACCACCTCCCGTTAAAAGGATGCCGGGTGGCAGAGCTGCGAAGAGACCTCTGCATGAGTTCTTGGGGAATCACAGCCAGTCAGTAGATGATACCAGGTGGGGACGGACTATATACCGATGTGCAAAGCAAAACAGCTTCATACGCACCTTCCGGAAATCTCGCTTCTCAAAGTCCGCTTCTGCAATCTTCTCGTATTCCAGGACGGTCCTGGCATTGTTCAGCTGAAAGGGAAGACCGGAACACCGTCAGTTCCCATCCTGCCAGGGAGTTCACAGCAGCCTCGCCCTGGCCCTCCGTGTCCAGCCCAGCTGTTGCTTTTTGGCACACCTTGAAACCCATGAGCGGATTCCAGAGGCACCGGCTCCTGCCTGTCTCAGAGGGTTGTTTACTTTAGGAATCCGGTTCCAGCTTCATGCATTTGATGATGTGCCTGAATATCTATCAACAACATACGTGAAAGTCCGCAGCACCTGGGAAGTAAAAGCCTTCGCGTGCCCCGTGGAGATGTGACTCATCCTTTAACAGTGAGTACGGGATTTTAAACCATTCATGTTTTACCATTTCTACAAACAAAACAGAGCACCCCCACCAGTGTTCCCTCTAAGCTGAGTTAGTGTGAGCTAGCTCACAGTTGTTTGGCCTCCAGCTTACACATTTTTGTCTTGGCTCAGGGAGGATGGCTCCAGAGCAAAGTAGTTTATGCAGTAGCCAAATCGCTCGCTCACAGTTTTAATGCCAGTAGCTCACAAAGTAGAATTTTTGCTCACAAGACTCCACAGCTTAGAGGGAACAATGCTCCCTCTAAGCTTTGGAGTCCTGTGAGCAAAAATTCTACTTTGTGAGCAACTGGGATTAAAGTTGTGAGCGAGCAATTTGGCTGCTGCATAAATTAGTTTGCTCTGGAGCCATCCTTCCTGAGCGAAGGCAAAAATGTGTAAGCCGGAGGCGGAAAAAACCTGTGAGCTAGCTCACACTAACTCAGCTTAGAGGGAACACTGCCCCCACCCCTCTCTCACACTCACCAATTAGGCGCAAGCAGGGAAACCCTGCTGTGTTACTTCTCTCTGCACTGCCATGGACGGGACAGCATAAACCTTCTGGGTTGGACCTGACCAGCATTTTCAACCAATCTCACCTAATCTCCCACCATTCCACGTGGCGCTTGTAAATCCAGGTCCCATCAATCCTCACACAGACCTTTGTTATGGTTGCCTCTCGGATGCGTACGCACACCTTGGCGTGAAGGTGGTGGGGTCTGAGTGGGTCAGTGAAGCTGAGAGGGATACCGCTAATGCCGCTCTCTGTCAAGAGTCTAAACTCCTACGCGGAGTCAACTCAAGGCAGAATGGTCAAAGCTGAGTCACCAGACCAAGATGCATCTACTCCCTTCGGGAATCATCGGCCGGATCAGCAGAAGAGAACGGACAGTTCCAATGGGGGTGGGAGTGGAGGAATCGTGGAAGGGCAGCTACTGGGCGGCAGCAGTCAATCATCAACTGTGACTTGGAGTCTCTCCATGCCAACCCCCCTTCTTGCCATCTAAGAACACTGTAGATCTAGGAATGGTCTGCAAGCGCTGTGGTTTTGGGGGACAATCAATGGAATACAGAAGGTTCTGGGAAACATCCCGTCATCCCCTGGGCAGCAGCAGTCGTGGGAGGTGGCACTGGCGGGGGGATCTATCGTAGATAATGGCAGTGACACCTTGGCTCACCCTGGTTAGCGCCACGCAGAAGAAGACAGCGGTAAGCCACTTCTGACCATCTCATACCTCGAAAACCCTACAATGGGACGACCCAAAACGAAAGAAGGTAATAGTGCTAGAAGACAGGACCCCCAAGTCGGAGGGCGGTCATTTAGCTACTGGGGAGGAGCAGAGGACAAGTAGCGCTATTCTTAATGATGTAGTTGAACTAAAGCCAAGAGGACGTTCCGTGGTTGATGCGAGGGGATGCACAAGCAAAGTCCAAAGCTCTTCGACACGTATTACGGAAACATGAAATGTTCAGAAGTATGAATCAAAGTAACTCAAAATCGTAAAACGAGAAATGGAATGTTTAAACATTGCAACCCTAGGAGTAAGAGAACTAAAGTGGACTGGATTAAGGACGTTTTCAGTCAGAAAACTACGAGGAAGAAATGGAGTTGCTCTGACGCTGAGGTGAGAGGCAGGACAAGCAATCCGGGGTCATAATGCAAACATTGACCAAACGATATCAGACTTCATGGAAAGCCTATTAAAAGAAGTCCCTCACGTTTATGCCCCGGCTACAGATGCTGAAGAGGGGAAAAAAACCCTGAAAACTTGTCTGCAAGCGTCTGGGAAGAAACTGATCAAACAAACAAGGCACGATGAAAATCATACCTGATTGGAATGCAAAAGTAGCAAACAAAAGTAGAATCAAATACTGTTGCAAAATTTAGGCTAGGAGCACTGAATGAGAGCGACTCACAGAGTTCCGTGTAGGCAGCAATTTGTTCGTTGAGAACATACGTTTCAGGCAACGGAACTGACAACTGTATACGTGGACATCACCAGATGGCCAAAATAGAAATCAAACAGATTATATAATTGGAAGCAAAATATGGAGAAACTCTGTTCTCACTACCAAAATGAGAGCAGGAACAGCTTGTGGCAGCAGCCGGGAACTGAAAATCAGAATAAAGCCGAAGAAAAACACCAAAACGTTTGTAGTGCCGAAATATAAACTAAACAACATTCCTGAAGAGTTTAAAGACCACGTAGAGAACAGATTTGGATTGCAGAGTTCAAGTGAATGTGAAATGGAAGAACCTGCGTTTTAGAAATGGCCCACATTCCAATTCTGAAAAGGGAGACATCCAGGACTACAGCAACTTTCAGACCGTGGCTTTAATTTCTCATACAAGCAAAGTGATGCTCAAAATCTTACGACAAAGACTGTTGCCATATATGGAATGAGGAATGCCCGATGTTCAAGCTGGATTCAGAAAACAAGACGGCCTAGAGAACATATTGCAAATTTACATTGGTTACTGGAACACATGAGAGAATTTCAGAAGAAAATTAGCATCGCGAAAGCTACGGCTGGTTTTAAAAGAAATGAGCGTGACACAACATCATATTGTTTTGAAGGGCAACCTATACTCTGAATAAGATGCTATTGTCAGGACAGAATGCGGAAAACAGAATGGTTTCCAGTTGGCAAAGGGATCAGACGACGACGACGATGAAGAAGAAGAAGAATAATTAGATTTTTATACTGTCCTCCCCGTGAAGTGGGCTCAGGTAGTGTACAACAGGTTAAAAGCAAATACATAATGATTTAAACGGTTAAAATTAAGAGCTCTGCAACACGAAGATCCTGGAGCCGAAGGCAACACCATTCACAGGTTTTCTAACCCTGATCATCAGGGGAAGGAAGGGAGAGAGGAGGACATCTCTGTCTAGCAGGCCCTGCCGAATTGTAACGGATCCCGCAGGGCCTGCATGTCAGTCGACAGAGAGTTCCGCCAGCTCAGAATCAGGACAGAGACGGCCCTGGCTCTGGTTGAGGACAGCCAGACACTCTTTGGGCCACCAGATTTTTTTTGCCGGAGCGCAACACTCTCTGGGGGAGAGGCCGTGGTGGGGTGGTTAAAAAAGAGCTGGGTGACACTGGATCCCACCAAGACAGAGGTTCTGTGGTTGGGGGGGGGGAGGGATTCAAGTTTGGGGTGACCGCTCCCAGCTCGTGACGGTGTGCCCCTAAATACCAACACCAACTGCCAAGAGCTTGGGTGTGATGCTGGATGCCTCCCTACCAATGGAGGCCCCGATCACAAACGTTCCCAGACTGGCGTTTTTCCAACTACGCCAGGTTAGGCGATTGGCCCCCTACCTCTCTTGCCCCGACCTAGCCACAGTAATCCACGCAACGGTCCCCTCCAGATTAGACTACTGTAACTCACTCTATGTAGGGCTACCTTTAAAAGACCCGGAAACTCAAACTGGTCCAGAATGCGGTTGTGTGGGTCCTTACAGTTTGGTGTCGTGGTTAAGTGCGCGGACTCTAATCTGGGAGAACTGGGTTTGATTCCCCACTCCTCCACTTGCACCTGGCTGGATGACCTGTTAGAACTGTTCTTGAAAAAAGAGCAGTTTCTGTCAGAGCTCTCTCAGCCCCACAGGGTGCCTGTTGTGAAGAGGGGAAGGAAAGGGAGTTTGTAAGCCGTTCTGAGACTCCTTCGGGTAGCGAAGGGTGGGGTATAAATCCAATCTTTCTTCTTCTTCTACAGGAAGGAGGAGGAGGACAGACACCCTGTGAGGTGGGTGGGGCTGAGAGAACTCTGACACAAACTGCTCTTTTTCAAGGACAGCTGTGCCAGAGCTTGTGACTGACCCAAGGTCACATCAGCAGGTGCAAGTGGAGGAGTGGGGAATCAAACCCGGTTCTCCCAGATTAGAGTCCGCACACTTAACCACTACACCAAACTGGCCCACAGCCAAAGGAACCCTGTGCACAGCATGTATTCAACCTGCACTGTCTCCAGGTGGAGTATCGGACCAAGTTCAAGGTTCTGGTATTAACCTTTAAGGCCCTAAATGGTCTGGGACCCATGTATCTTTGGAACCACCTCTCCTGGTATACCCCCCGAAGACAACTGCGTTCTGCAGACAAGAACTTACCGGTGATCCCTGGCCCAAGAAACATCCGGCTGTCTTTGACCAGAACCAAGGGGTTTTCGGCCCTGACTCCAACCTGGTGGAACACTCCGCCAAACAACATTTGTGCCCTGCGGGACTTAATGTAATTCCACAGGGCCTGTAAGGCGGAGTTGTTCCGCCAGGAATTTGGTTGAGGACAGCGATGGTTTTTCCACCTGTCTGGCACTCCTGTCTTTCTTGCCTGCCCGCCCTGGCGAGATAGTGACACAATTTGAAGTTTCTCAGCACCATCTACTTAGATTAATTGCTGTCTTTTTATTGTTTTAACTGTGAATTTTCAATTATGGTTGTGTTTTTACTGTTGTACACTGCCCTGACCCTGTTTACAGGGGTGTGGGGGGGTGTCTCGAAATTTAATTTAATAAATAAATAATAAACAATAAAGCAGGGAAAGGGGAAGACCCCACATGAGATGGGTTGACTCGGTCAAGGAAGCTCCAGCCTTCAGTTTGCAAGACCTGAGCAAGGCTGTGAACGATGGGGCATTTTGGAAGCCGTTCATTCACAGGGTCGCCATGCTGGAAGCGACCTGATGGAACACGGCATACCCACAGCCAAAGTAATCTCCCTTCCTTTTTCACTAGCAGAAAGGCTGTATTGATCCAACCCAGGCGGACCGCTGCCGGATTTGAAACGAACCTCGGACTCATTCAAAGGCAACTCGACAGATCTTTAATAAACTAAGTTGACACACTTACACTCTGGTCACACGGACATTTAGTGCAGGCTTCGCTGCTGATCCCTCGTGCATTAAAGTTTCCTGTTCATATTGGCAAACCTACCTCCTGCACCGAAGCGGGCTGAGTCCCGCGGTTTTCGCTCTTTTTATCCGTGTTTTCTGACACCCGTTGGAACAGGTGTTTTTTTGCTATCCCGCGCTTTGCATCCGCGGTTTTGGTATCTGGACAGCAATCCGCCGTGACCGCCCTCCCCCCCCCCCCCTTTTGTGTTTCCGGTTTAAGTTATGCACATGTGCAAACAGGCACTAGCTTTTATTTTGGTCTTTTTAATTTGTATGTACGCCCAAGCGCATGTTTAACCCCGTTTTCTTTCTCGTTTTCCTTTACGTCTTCGATCTCGTGTATTGACAGTTTGGTAACGCCGATGTTGCTTGTTCAAGCCGTAATTCGGCCATGCGCATGGGAAGACAAGTGCATGCGCAGGTTTTGTTTTTTTAAAAACCCCGCGCCGCCACGGGGACGGTGCGCTGTGTGATCAGTACTTCGTGCGAGTGAAGCAGAAGACAGAGGGACCGTCTGACCACCTCCAAGCGATATAAAATGTCGCGGATAGAAGAACTGCGGGAAAACTAGCGCGGTAAGAGGTCCATGTGACCACGGCCTTAACACTCTATAATGGTCAAACAGGTGCTCGTTAACTCTATACTGCTGCCATAGCACAGTCGGGGGGGGACGGATGGACGGGACGACTTGTCTCTGTTTTCCCGGACAAACCAAGCCTTCTACCACCTTACCTCTTGCAGTGCTTGTGCGTTTTTGTGATCTAGTTCTAGAGCTCGTTGGAAGCAGCGGCTGGCGGCCATGGCGTTCCCCAGGCAGAGGTGGCACTTGCCTTCCCGAAGGTGTCCCTGAGGGGGCGAGGAGAAGGAGAGAGAGGGAGAAAACCCTTTGCTGCAGGTACTGAAAATGGGGGTTAGAACCAGCGGGAGCGACACACAGAGATCACGTACCCTCACAAAGCTATCGTCCATCCTGATAGACTGCTGGGCGTCCCCGAGGGCCTCCCGGAACTTGCCCAGCATCATCAGCGTGGCTGCTCGGTTTCCATAGTAACTGGCATTGCTGGGACACGCATCTGAAGACATGTAACGGGACAGCAGTTAGTCTTGAAAAGCCCTCCATTCCTGGCAACAAAGTCTTGTTATCGTTTTTTTAAAAGTTAACATGGTCAACATTTTGCATGCTTTCCTGGAAGGTTCTGAAGTGTAAGAGGGCCGCTTTGTCTTGTTGCAGTCCTGTCCTTCAGCAATCACTTGATCTATGGGTCACAAGGCTGGCCCCCCTTACCAATCAGGAAGGCAGTGATCCAACACCACACTTGCATGGGAAAGAGCCGGGGTACAAGCCGTGTTCCCTTCTAAGATGTGGAGTCTTGTGAGCAAAAAATTCAACTTTGTGAGAGCTACTGCCATTAAAGTTGTGAGCAAGCAATTTGGCTACTGCATGAATTAGTTTGCTCTGGAGCCGTCCTTCCTGAGCTAAGAGCCAGAATAAAACTTTGTTGGTCTTAAAGGTGCCACTGGACTCTAAATTTGTTACACAGAGATATGTGTATATGTGTATTAGTCTATTACATTAATAGAATGGCCTGCTTTAGAGAGGCAAGCTACAAGCAAAGACTGAAAGGGAGGAAGGTGCTGTATACACATGCATTACAGGCGTCTCCGTGTCCAGTTCAGTTGGGTCCAGTGCTCCCTCTAAGCTGTGGAATCTTGTGAGCAAAAATTCTATGCTTTCGATGATGTGCCTGAATATCTATCAACAACATACGTGAAAGTCCGCAGCGCCTGGGAAGCAAAAACCTCCGCGTGCCCCGTGGAGCAGGAGTCCCGATCCCTGGAGAGCTGCGATGTGACTCATCCTTTAACAGTGAGTATGGGATTTTAAACTATTCATGTTTTACCATTTCTACAGGCAAAACAGAGCACCCCCACCCAATGCGCCCTCTAAGCTGTGGAGTCCTGTGAGCAAAAATTCTACTTTGTGTGCGATTGGGATTAAAGTCGTGAGCGAGCGATTTGGCTACTGCATAAAATGGTTTGCTCTGGAGCCCTCCTTCCTGAGCTAAGTCAAAAATGTGTGAGCTGGAGGCTAAAAAACTATGAGCTAGCTCACACTAACTCGGCTTAGAGGGAACACTGGTTGGGTCTCCTTGTTGCTTATACACACGCTTGCTTGCACTGCTTTGGTGTGAATGTGTTGTGGACCACAGTAGAAACATGAGGCTTGGGTGAAGACAAAACAAGGCCTTTGTGACCAACACCAGGGTACAGCCTCAGGGTCCTGTCACTGTGGGTCAAGCCAGCCACAGAAGCAAGCTCTCCTGGGCAGCCAATGCAGTGCAGTATTTAGTGCTGGACTACACCTGAAGGTATTGAAGATCAAACCCCTGCTCTGCCACGGTGGCTGACCTTGGGCCAATCACACACTCTGAGCCTAACCTACCTCACAGGGCTGTCGTGATGATACACAGAGAAGGAGAGCTGTGAATCCTGAGAATCCATGAGGGAAGGCCAAACAAAGATGCAACCAATGTCAACCAACCTCCCCCTTCCCCCTGCCTCTCACCTATGGCTTTTGTATAGTAGTTGTATGCTTCGTTGTAGTCTTTCTTGGCATAAAAGGCATTTCCTTGCTCCTTGAAGGACTCTGCCTCCCTGAAAGAAAACAAGACGTTACAGCTTGCAGAACGCAGCAGCACCCAGGACTGAGAAATCAACGGGACGGTGATCGTACAATCACCAAAGCTACAGAAGAGGACTAAGGGACCCCCCCCCCCGCAATGCAGGGAGCATGTCTGTAGCTTCCTTAATGTATACCCTTCTCTTTCTGTGAAAGAACATTAAGACGTCAGGAAGCTGTTCACAGTTAACCAACTGAGAACATTAGATTTGGACAAGCCTTCGATCTGCGATCACATCATGCAAAAATCAAAGAAAGTGGTCTACATTTCTAACAGACGTCTTCCCAAGGCATGGAACAGTCACTCGAGGGTTGTCGCTAGATCATTAAAAACTTATTCGCCCATGAATCATATGTATTTGGATCCACTAAATTCACATACATGTGCATATGGATAAGGACAGTGGCGAAGAAAAAGGCATTCTTCGTGTCAGCTGGACTGATGAATCGGGGGCATATTTTTAGTTCATTACCCTTGACTGGGCATTGCAGATCTCATGCCCTTCACCTGGAGAGACAGAACATCTCACACACCTGAACTACTTGGGGTTTCTCTTGGCTCCTGGCACCAGTCTGGGGGATCTCACTGTGCCTGCTTATACACAAGGAAATTACCAACACAGGCCTACCAAAGGGGAACAGATCTTGAAATCTTGGGATACAGCCTGTTTACAGGACATAGCTGGAAGGATCTGCATCAAGGGAGAGGGGGGAACCCACCAAGGCTTCTTTCCAAATTTGGAAGACAGGCACAAATATTTGCATCCCAGCTGAAGAATAGTAAGACGTTACACAGGGGTCTGTGTCGGCTAATGCCGCCATGGGTTTGGGCTGTGTTCTCCTCCCCCCCCCGCTTCCCCCTCTCCTGCTGGAATGCCCTTCAGGTTTCTTCCCGTTATCTCTCTTGTGGCCTTGGGAGACTTGTTCGGTGGTGCCGCTGCTTCCCGCTGGGAGCTGCGGGCCGTTTTTCTGAGCGCACTTGCTTGCTTTCGCTTATTGGTTCATATCTCTCAGGGGGCCCTGTATGAACTGGGTATAACTGTTTGGGTTCCCGCCTAACCCCTCATGCCTGACACAGATTGTGTCCAACGATGACCCGAGTACCTTTCTCAATAAACTGACCCTTAATAAAGGAATGTTGTTGAGCTTGGTTGACTCGGGACCAATGCTCCCTCTAAGCTGTGGAGTCTCGTGAGCAAAAATTCTACTCTGTGAGCGACTGGCATTAAAGTTGCGAGTGAGCCATTTGGCTACTGCATAAATCAGTTTGCTCTGGAGCCCTCCTTCCTGCGCTAAGACATCAATGTGTGAGCCGGAGGCTAAAAAACTGTGAGCTAGCTCACAATAGCTCAGCTTAGAGGGAACAATGCTCAGGACTCTGACAGTCTGTTTACACATCAAGAGTCTTTGGTGCACTTTTACTTTTTAAACGTGCTTAGAACAAATCCACGAGATGCACCTTGGGAGGGGGGAAGAGGGGCTGAATGCACGGGACACAGAGAAGAGCTCTCTTCCCCTCTGCAGACTGGAGCCTAACCAGGGGCTGAATGCACGGGACACAGAGAAGGGCGATGTGTCGCTAGCTCTCTTACCCTCTGTGGACTGGAGCCCAACCCCTCATTCCTGACACAGATTGTGTCGAACGATGACACGAGTACCTTTCTCAATAAACTGACCCTTAATAAAGGAACGTTGTTGAGCTTGGTTGACTCGGGACTCTTGACAGTCTGTCTGAAGGAACGTTGTTGAGCTTGGTTGACTCGGAACTCTTTACAGTCTGTCTGCACATCGAGAGTCTTTGGTGCACTTTTACTTTTTAAACGTACTTAGAACAAATCCACGAGATGCACCTTGGGGAGGGGGGAAGAGGGGCTGAATGCACGGGACACAGCTAGCTCTCTTCCCCTCTGCGGACTGGAGTTCCGCTTGTGCTATTCTAGGCCTATATGACTGTGTCCCCGAAGAAAAAGATATGAATAGCTGCCCCAGCTTTTAAAAGCAAAATGCTCTGCAGAGAGGGGTACGTTACAGAGGACATCTAAAAGGCACAGGATAACTGGTTTTAAATCCAGGCAATTTAGATTATCCTCTGCCCCAGAAGAGGTGAAAGAAAATGACTGATTTAATTCAGGTCTTCCAAATTCCGGTTTGCGTCTTGTTTAACCAAACATACTGTCCTGCAGTGAATGGGAACATCTGTTAGCATTACACAGGGCAGGAGGTCCTCGGCCTGTAAGTGCTGCTGGGATTTTGAGGAAGGGCAACAGGGACCACCACCTAAACGGCTGCCGTGAAGGCAGGGCTAACCTCTAAGACAAGCCGCCTCCCATAAGGCGGGCAGCTGCTTCCCAACAGGCCCTCCCTGCAGATGTGAAGGTGATGCCTCCTGGGCCCGTCTTTGGTACCGAGGAGGCGGAGGCGAGTGACTTTCTTTGGGAAAGAGAGGCTGCTGGGTTCCAGTTTCCGAAAAGGGAGGGCACGCACCTGTGTGGCCACAGGGAAAGGCTGCCATGCCCAGAGACAGAAGCCAGTCTGGCCAAAGCAAGGGCACACGGCTGTGGCACACCAAGCAGTTTCTTGGCCAGGCAGCTGCCAGGCAGCAACCCAAAGCTCCTTTTCCTCCATATTCAATTCCAGGCCATTTAGATTTTATCCCCAAGACACAAGTTAGCAAATGCCAAGGAACACACTGGCAAGTGCTGTGTTGTTGGGGAGGGTGGAAGGGACCACACCGAATTAGGGGCATAATCCAAAGCCTCTGTTCATGCAACCCATGTGCCTTTTGCGCAACTGCATTTCTATGTGCTTTGAGGAGGAGAAGAGATTGGATTTATCCCCCGCCCTTCACTACCCAAAGGAGTCTCAGAGCGGCTTACAAACTCCTTTCCTTTCCCCTCCCCACAACAGACACCCTGTGAGGTAGGTGGGGCTGAGGGAGCTCTGAGAGAAACTACTCTTTTTCAAGGACAGCTCTGACCAGAACTACGGCTTGCCCAAGGTCATCCAGCAGGTGCCAAGTGGAGGAGTGGGGAATCAAACCCGGTTCTCCCAGATTCGAGTCCGCGCACTTAACCACGACACCAAACAAGGCAGCAGAGCAATTATGAAATCAAGGATTTCTCCCAAGTACAAAGAAACACCCAGAAGGTCTACTGGGAACTCCGTTTTACTGTCCTACTAACAGACCATGGACTTCAATATTTTAAAAA